TAAACTCCAAAAAAAAAAAAAGAAATATCTTTCTAGGTGAATTTTGCTATAAATCGGCTCACATTTTCGGGCCAATGTTTAACTTTTGGAACTTTTGGTTCGAAAGCGAGCCGATAAATGAACTGAGCTTACTAATCGCACAATGGTCTCGTGTGTGTGTGTGTGCGCGAGAAATGTGACAATTACTTCTAATTCACAACAAATTTTAATATGAAAGTATTCGAAGTTTAAGTAACTCAAAGTATGAAAATTTTTACGAATTTCGTCTCACTTTTTGTAACAGATATCATAGTTTAGCAATTTAAAAAAAAAATAAAAAATTTATATAAAATACAATTTTAATCAATAACTTTGTCTATTTTCATTTTAGCTTAAAATAAAGCTTTTTATATTTTAAATTTGGTATATTACATTGTGAATTCTGTAACTGTATTATTATTAGTTGTCCAGACAAAAATTGTTGTCATACATGTGAAATGGAAAAAGCAGAAAAAAAATAAAAAATTGTTCTTTTTCTTTTTTCTTTTTTTTTTTTGAAACATGGACCTTCCGGTTTCCGGATCCACATGGAACCGACTAATCCGGAATCGAACCGGTAGGACCACCAGGGCGAAAAAGCTCTCCCTCAAGAGTTTAACACTGCTGCATTCCCAGGGCTCGAACACGAGACCACTGGTTAAGCTGGAAGAGACCCAAGTCATCTCATCCAAACGCTATTGGTATAAAAAATAAAAAATTGTTCTCTAACTTATTATATTATTCATGAGGAGAGGTAGCAACATATAAGGCACACATCAACTATAAATATAGCCAATTCACATTTCTTGTTATCTCAGTCAGATAAATTTCCCTAGCAACTATTATATTATTCATGAGGAGAGATAATTTTTATTTTTTTTTTAAATTAAATTAAACATGAGTTCACTCAAAATTTTCACACTTTATTTTCTGCTCGTGATTCTTCTGCTAATCAAAACCCATGTAAGTCCCATTTAATTTATTTCATTTTCTTTTTCCCTTTCATTTAGAAAAATAAGTATGAATGATCAACCCAAGTTGACGATTATCGGGTCGATCAGTCATACTTTTTTTTTTCTCTCTCTATATATATGTAGTCTTTAATTTAGCCTAATAATTAATTTGTGCATGCAGGCAGCAGTTATAACTTTCTCTCCAGCTCCTCAGCCACAACCACCAATTAGCACTTTCCCCATGGTAATTAATTAAAAATAATTAATTTCTTTCAAAAATTCATTTTTTTTAATTAATTTTTCAAGTGAATTTTCATTCTATAAATCACTTTATGGTAATTTTTTTTTTCGTTTAACCATAATGTTTATTTATTTATTTATTTATTTATTTTTAATCTTAAATTCTTTTTCAAATTGCTAACTAAGTGTAGCTAATTTTGTTTTGTTCAGTATGGTGCAACTCCTGGTAGTCTTAGTCCTCAGGGTACGTAAGAGAATATTTCTTTTATCTTTAAAATTATCCCTTACAATTGTAGATATAATTGTTACAAATTATAACGGGACTGTAGTATTACCCTATAATATTACACTTGTAAAATATACAAAACTTATTTTATTTTTTCTGACAGAATGTGGGCCCCGGTGCACGGGAAGGTGCTCGAAAACCTCGTTCAAGAAGCCATGTATGTTTTTCTGCCAAAAGTGCTGTGCCAAATGCCTCTGTGTGCCTCCAGGAACTTATGGCAACAAGCAGTTTTGCCCTTGCTACAACAATTGGAAGACCAAAAGGGGCGGACCAAAATGCCCTTGACCGTCGACGTTAATCCCCTTTAAGTCCCCCGTTTACATATATGCATGCTTTTGACAGATGAATATTTTTAGATAAGTTTTCTTATGGAATCATGTATTACTTCAAAGCCAATGTACCTCAAAGTTCTTCTTGCTTCTGTTATGTTTGCAGTCTTGTATGCTTATTGTGTAGCTCTAGAGCACTCGGGTGTGAGTGGCTCTCTTGATCCTTGGTGGTTTTGGGCCAGTTGGATCCGGACTTGTATTCTCTGTACATTTGTGCGTTATAAAATCTTCTAACGTTTTGAAAAGTGAGTGGCTCTCTTGATCCTTGGTGGTTTTGGGCCAGTTGGATCCCGACTTGTATTCTCGGTACATTCGTGTGTTATAAAATCTTCTATCGTTTTGAAAAAAATACGATCATCAACCAATTTGTGATGATGAAATTATCATATAACTTGATGATTATTTACATCCAAAGAAAAATAGTAAAACAGAATTACATATCAAACTTGGAAAATATTTTAAAGAAACATAATCTTATATCCACACCATAACTGCTTAAAATTCATACAAGAAAGATATATTATTTTTTTTCTTACAGAAAACCACAAGCATATATTAAGGACTCACAATGGCTTACCTTCAACAAACAACATATATGATAGATAGATATATCCACATTGTCTACATGCTGTTGTTCTTCTTCTTTCCTTAAAACTTTGCAAAAAACTTCAGTGTGTTTGACTGTTTTTACATCTCTGGTAAGGGAACAACTGCTTCGAAAGCCTCGACTAGCATCGACACTCTTCTTTTCCTATCCGGAGTCAGTTTCGTAACAATGTGTCGAACTGCATAGTCGAGCATCCATTGCTCCGCCTTTTTCCTCTCGTCCATCATCTCCCGCCTCAGCTCGACTTTCTCCCCTTCGTCGCCAGGTGGCGCCTCGGGAAGCGAATTGTTCTGTTTGGGTTTGACATTTCTAGCCTTTTTCAGAGCCTCGATCGATCTCTTAAGCATGATAACCCGTTTGAGTTTGCTCCAGTTTTTACCTCTCGGAAGCTGCTCGGTTTTCTCAAACGAGGCGTCTTGAATTTCTGGAAGTAAAATTTTGTCGACAGCCTCTTTTACGAGCTTGAGCGCGTCAGATTTGGTGAACTCTCTCGACTCCTGATCTTCGGTCGAGATAACAATGTCTTCTTCTGATTCGTCGAGAAGTCGAGTCCCCATTTTTTCAGCAATACCCGAGACCACGTGCTGATATATCATGTGCCACATCTCGATGTGTTTTTCTTTCTTGTCCGTTTGTAAGGCAAAAGCTTCTCGATTTTCACGAATATCGATAATCTTGCTTTCACTTTCTTGATTTGCAGAGTTTTGGATTAAAATACCCTCATCATCTTTATCTCGATTTTTCCCCGAAACGGGCTCGTCCGATTTGAGACTCGGTGGAGCCACCGTTTCAAATGCTTTCACGAGCAGCGAAACTTTCTTCTTCTGAGTAGGCTCCAGCTGGCGTACAGCCTGGCGGAGCGCGTAGTCAAGCATCCACTCCTCGGCATTCTTTTTGTCGCCAGCTGTTTGGTGTCTGAGGTTGACTTTTTCAGCTTCCGGTCCGGAGATTAGTGGTAAGATCTTCGGTTTTTTGGGGTTGAATTTTCTCACTTTCTCCAATTCCCGGATGAATTTCTGAAGCAAGATCCATTTTTTGAGATTGCTCCAGTGTTTTGGAGCTTTCTTTTCGGACTTTTTGATCACTTGACCGAAAGAACTCTTATCATTGATTAAACGTCCTTCTTCTCGATCAGCTTTTTTGTCAAAAGCATTCGATTCTTCATGATTTTGTTCGGTAATAGCTGTGAGGAAAAAGTGAAAAACGAGATCCGCTTTTAGAACAAGCGATTTTCTATTATTCGAATGAATGATTGCCAAAAATAGAGTAATTGGTGGATAGGTTGTAAGAAAGTCTCATTTTTCAACATGTACACAATAGTAAGGCTTAAAATGAAGTTCAAAGCTTTACCTGGAGTTTGATCTCGCTCGATATTTCCCATTCTCGGAGTACTTTCACTAGTAACCGACTGATCATCAGACGTCTGATCCTGAACCTCCGGGAGAAGAATCTTCTCGATCGCCTCCCGAACAAGCTTGATAGCAAACATCTTACGTAGCTCGATTTCTTGATTTTCAGAATCATTAATAGAGTCTCCACTCGGAGTTGCTGTACTTCCCTTTCCAAGAGAAAAATCTTCACCATCCACCGAGTTTTCTCTTTCGACCGGCTTGTCTGTGGGCCCCACAGCCGAATTCTCTGTCATGTGCTGGTGTATTAAATGCCACATGCTGATATGCCTCTGCTTGCTGAACTGAAGCTCTCTCCCTTCTTGCTCGGGCTCGTTAACTCCCGTGATTTTGTTGTTATTGCATTTCAGATTGCCAGCTGGAGAATGCTCAGCTTTCAACTCCCGTTCATCCTCGGAGTTCACATCGCTTGAAGCTTGACTATGGGAAGAAAATGATGATATCTCAATAATACTCCTTTTGCTTGACTTTTCGAATGCAACTGGAGTTTCAGGACAAAACTTATTAGATTCTTCACTAGCACAGTCCACAGCCGAGCTATCCTCAGTAAAGTTGCTGACTTTTTCGTTTGACTTTTCGACCACATTACTAGAGCCATTACCACAAACATCAACCTTGCTATTTTCGAAACTCGAGTAAGTTAATTCGTCTTGGATATGACAAGAGCAACTCGAACAAAACTTCCCTCCAAATTCCCCTTCTAGTGATGAATATTTCCTATATATTTCAAGATTCTCCTCGTAACTTCTCTCGGGAAACGACATCTCGCCGCACGCAGCTTCTACAATATCCAATCCCATAACATTTTCATATCCAAACGGCTCCTTTCCCGGATTGTTACGATTTTCTTCGTAAGAATCCACAACAGGAATCACTTGGCTTTTGTGAGTATTCTTCTTGTTCATATAATGCCCCGGCTCGATTCTTTTCAATACGGGCTTTTGCATTTTCATCGACTTTCTCCTTTGGTAAAGAAAACTCTTTGTACGAGCAATGGGAGCACGAGTTCCTCCGCAATGCCCATGCAGAGAGCAATGGTGGTACCGGCAAACTTTTTCCAGTTCTTTCCCAACCAAACGAGCCTCGACCCGTTCGGAAAAATTTGAGCCTTTAATAGTCGAGGAATAAGTCGCTCGATTAACGGCTACATCCTCAGAAAAAAACTTAGAATAATTCAACAACCCCTTTCTTGGCTTGAAACTGGCTTTCTTCATTAAAAACCCCACATTCCTAAAGCTAGACGAGCTCGAAAGGGTTTGTAAGGACTTATTACCGAGCACAAGAGAACCCGTTTTCTTGCCTTGCGAACAAGTCGTGGCTTTTAGATAGTGAGGCGAGGATTCGGACGAGTCGAACGAGGAATCTTCGTATGGTATCGTGAGTGGAGTTTGACGAACATTTCTTGATTTCGTTCTTTTCCGGAAAGTTCTAACCTTGTTGAAGCTTTTCGATGTTCGGTTTTTGTTGGTCCTGTGTTTGATGCCGCCATTTTCGTCCGGTTTGAGGGTGTACGGTTTGTTTATCGACGACCCACAAGTCGAGGAAGTTACAGAAGCCAATTCATCACATTCACTTCCCCCTTGCTGATGAAAACAACATAGGATTTTTAGTAAAGTTTGCACCTTTTTGTTTTTTTAAGGAACCAAAATGTGTGATTGCTTAAAGTTTGCACCTTTTTGTTTTTTTAGGAACCAAAATGTGTGATTGCTTGTGAAAAAACATTCTGAAAAACACAATATTTTCTGTTACAATCTTTAACTTTTTAGTTTTAACATCTCATGTCCATTCCAAATCCAATCACTGACTGCATATAAT